CCTGCCAGGCACTTTGCTAAAACCACGTTTCTCCCCGCTTTCTTGCCTCGCTCCTAGGACCTGCTCTGCCCTCCCCGGCCAGCTGCGAGCCTCAGCTTTTCATCCCCAAATAGTCCATCAGGATGTTCTGCTGAATGAAAAACCAGAACTCTGCTCCTAGCTTTTAGAATAACATTGTTCTCGTCCTGCTCTGTTTGTTGAGCACCCACTGTGTGTCGGAGGACCTGAGGAACAGGAAGACAACAGGCAGGCGCTGTCCTGCCTGTGATGACCGAGTCATCCTACCCTGGGTGCCAGTCTTAGCCTTGACGTGCCGGCCTTGGCAAGGGTTTCTCTGGTTATAGTTGACGGACATGCCGCAAGATGCCACACACAGCATCCCAGCGGACCCGGGGCACAGACCCACCGCCCACGCGCAGCGCATCAGCACAAAGATGCGCGGACACACGTGCACACACGCACACACACACAGGCGTTCACTCCATGCTAATTCTCGCCTTTGATCGAGCCCTCTCGTCTGTCATCACCACTCAGTGTTGACAAAGCAAAAGAAAAAGAGAAAGAAAGAAAGAAATCCGCCCTGTCACTTGGACACCCTTCCGCCCCCGCCGGGCTTGGCAGCACCCCCTCCCCCGGCCCCCGTCTTTGTATTATGGGTTTATGTCAAGGTATGCCGGATTCTAAATTAAACGTCAGCCCACTGTACATTTCTGGCTCCAGCTGCAGAAATGAGGGGTTGGTGCTGGAGACTGTCCAGTTGTTCAGCTCCCCGTGCCTAACCGTGAGGGGTGACAAGCCCATTGAATCACTGCACAGTAGCTTTCCGTGCCACGGGAAGCCAAGATAAATTTATTTTTAATGATAAATGTGAGTGTCAGAGTTAAGCTGAACCAGCTTGACGGTGAGAGCTGACTGCCCCCGGCAGTGCAGGGCAGAGGCTGGGTGGACGAGGGCCAGAGGTCCCGACCTGCTGGCCAGCCAGTCCCCCAGGCCCCACGAGAGAAGCACATTTGACATTCGGCCCACGTTTGCTGAACCTGTGCTGTATGCCAGCTCCGAAGTGCTCCCTGGATGTCTCAGGCCTGGCTCTAGGCATCCGAGAGGACAGAGGCAAGTGAGAAAGATGGGCTCTGGCAGTGTAGAGATCTAGGTTCAAATTCTGGCCCCATCATTCGCTGTGTTGTCTTGGCCACATTACTTAACCTCTCTGAGCTTCAGTTGTCTCATCTATAAAATGGGGATATTACATTTCAATACACATTTTAATCCCATGAGGATTACATGAAATAAGATATATTGCTAATGAATGGTACCTAGCACACGGAAAATGCTTACTGAGTGGTGGCTATTAATTACACCCTTTTATTAATAGCCCTATTACCCATGTTATGTAACTTACCTTTCTGAGTCAGTTTTCTCATCCATAATCTGAGGATGACAATAGCTCCCACTTATTAGGGTAGCTGGGGGGATGCAGGGTGCCCAGCACAGGGCTGATGCTCAACAGATTGCGGCCAGTCCAACTGGAGCACCCCCCAGTGTTGTCACCCGATGTCCCTGGCCACTCTTTCTCGGCTCCCTCACTGGCCCTCTTCCTTTTCATCCTCCCAATGCTGGCATCCCTCGCTGCCCGCCCTGCACCCACTCCCTGCTCGGGGAGGTGTCAGGACCCCAGCAGCCATGCCCTCCACTGGGCTGTGGTGGGCACCTGACCAAGGGCAGCTGTCTTGCGCCAGCTGATGACCTATGATTGACATGTCCTAGCTCCAAAGGATGAACAGGATGGACCGCAGCCCTTCTCCCTGGAATTTAAGAATCCCAGGGGCCGGCTCCGTGGCCGAGTGGTTAAGTTTGCGCTCCGCTGCAGCAGCCCAGGGTTCGGATCCTGGGCACGGACATGGCACCACTCATCAGGCCACATTGAGGCGGCTTCCCACATCCCACAACTGCAACTAAGGACCTGCAACTAAGATATACAACTGTGTACGGGGCGGGGTTTGGGGAGATAAAGCAGGGAAAAAAAAGGAAAAAAGAAAAAGATTGGCATCAGTTGTTAGCCCAGGTGCCAATTTAAAAAAAAAAAAAAAAAAAAAGGAATCCCAGATGGGAGTTTTCCGTTGGTGGGGCCATCACGTCTAGGTGAAAAGTAGGAACACGAGGAATCGGTGAGCCCGAGAGAGGAGCGTGAGTGGATGTGCATGGGGTGGCAGGGGTGTCAGTGCAGCCTCGGGTCTGACGCCAGGCAGCCTGGGGGTCCCCAGTCCTGGCTGGTCCCTGGAGTGCCCTGTCTCTGGCTGGTTAGAAAGCCCTGAGCCCACCCCGGCCAGCTGAGCACACCTGGGCTCGTCCCTGGGGCTCTGCAGACACAGCTTTGTCAGAAGAAAATCAGAGGGTGGGGGCACCGTCCTCTCTGTGGGGTCGGCTGTGCTTTTTCTCCCATAGATCTTGGCTGATGAACAGAGGGTGGCCCTCTGCTCTCCTGAGACAATGCCCCGTGTGTCGGGTGAACGCAGTGCATAAACCGCTAAGCTCTTGCCTGCAGGCTTGTGCCAGAGCTGCACTGGGGTGACCCTGCTTCTGGGCTGCTGAGCAAGGACATCATTGCGAGAAGGTGATGGGTGGGGACCACCCCCTACACATGTACTTCCTGCCTGCCTCGGGCAGGAAGGTGAGGAACCTGTGGCTGAGCCCGTGAGACGCCCCGACAGCAAACAGTGCCAGGAGCAGCCGCTAGGTGGCCCCCACTCACCTGTCGAACCGCCCCTCTGCAGGCCTGGGAGCAGGTCCTCCCGCCAGGCCAGCACCGTCCCGTGTGCACCTGCCCATGCAGGCTGCCATCCCTCTCCACTCTCTGCCTTTGCTTTGCGGCTTCCTCAGCGTCCAGATGCCCCTGCCGTCAGGGCCCGGCTAGCGCCCCTCCTCCTCCAGGGCGCTGTCTCCCGGACCACCCATGGCGCATACCGAGAATCTCCATTGGCCCTTAGCACCTGCCCCCTGCCCCCTGCCCCCAGATTCTCAGTCCAGGGCCCTCCAGGATGAGCTCTTGTCTGTGCATACACACTTCTGGAGCTTACATCTTCTCCCCGAATTGGAATCACAGACTTGCAGTCCCAGCCACATGCCTGCAAACCTCACAATCCCCCACTAAGAAGGAGGAGGCTGCAGTTTCTTATTGCATGAGGAAACTGAGGCTCAGAGAGGACAGGAAATCTTCCCAAGGTCATAGCGGGCAAGTCTGAGCCCCACTCAGGTGCTTCAGTGTGGCCAGCCCTCTCTCAGAACTTCACAGGAGCCCTTCCCAGGAAGGTTAACAGGCCCAGAGAGGCACAGTTGTTTGCCCCAGGCCACACAGCCAGGCCCTGTGCTTTCCACCACACCTCTCCGTCCAAGTGCGATGGCCCTCCAGGTCACTTGCCAATCCCTTTAATCCATAAGAGAGGGGCTCAGGGCAATAGGTGCCATCAAGGAAGAGCCACAGGCCAGGACTCCACACCAGCCCCCTGACCCCCTGCCAGTGCTATGAGATCCTCTCCAGCTCCCGAGGCGGCCTCCCTGTGGGCGGCTGGGGTGGGGCTGCAGGTGAGGCCAGCCAGCAGCCCTGGAAGGAAGGGGAGGCGTCAGACAAGCAGCTGGCGGGTTGTGAACCAACTTCTGGCGGGTGAGTGCTCAGACAGCATGAGGCACAGGGTGCCCCGACTTCAGTTTTCCGGGCACAGGGAGTGTCCCGCACAGGCTGGGCGCGGCCCCCACTCCCAGGCAGCCCCATGCAGGGCTCAGAGAGGGGCCCGGCGAGGGACGAAGATGGGGCGACAGACTGGCAGCCAGTGGGAGAGAGACGAAGGCACTGCCAGGGAACAGCGCGGCGGGCCAAGGCGCCCCGGGAGCCGGAAAACAGCTTTGGGGAGAAGAGGGGCGGCGGGGAACGGGGGTGCCTATTCTGAAGCTGGGGAAGAAGATAAGGGGTCGGAAAGAGAGGCGGGGGAGGGGCAGGCGGCCTGGCTCCGGTGGCCCGGGGAGGGGGCGTCGGGCCGCGTGGGCGCCTCGCGGTCAGAAGCCACAATAGCAGCTCGTTAACGGCGCAGATTAAGGACTTTGTCAATTACCTCCGAAGGGCTCCGGGCGGATTTAATGCTTTAAAAAGTGCTGCTGGTGGGAGGGGGCGACTAAGAAGCCCCCTCCCAGCGCAAATTCCTCTTCTCCGGGGCCGAGGTGGAGGCGGGGGCCGCGACGGCGCGGGGCGCGCCTGGGGAACGCGGGCGACCGGCCGGGAGCGCGGGCAGAGCGCGGAGCGGCTCGTACTCGCGACCGCGGCGCCGGCGGGGACCCCCGTTCTGCCCGCGAGCCGCCCGGGCGCGGGTCTGCGGACTCTGGCCGAGGCGCCCCCAGGGCCGGCCTCGCGGGTCGAGGGCGGCAGGGGGACCGTCCCGGGTGGCCGCAGCGTCCGCGCCAGGGCGCACTTGCCCCGGGGCCCGGATTGAGACCTCGGGGACCCGCAGGGGGCGCACTCCGGCCGGCCCCCACGCCCTGCCCAGCCCGGGTCTCAGGTGAGCCCTGCGCCGCTCCCGGGAGACGCCCGACGGCCCGGCAGGGGCGCCCCAAGGCCCGCCCGGCGCCGCGCCCCCCGCGCACGGTGAGTTGGCGCGAATCCCGCGCGGGAGGAAGTTTGTGCCGGCCGAGGCGCCGCCGGGGTTCCCAGGCCCCTCCGGGCCGGCCAGAGCCGGGCTGCCCGCGGCTGTTTGCCGCCCTCCCGGCTGGCCCCGGGGGTGTGGGGCCGTTCTGCCTCCTTCCTCTTGGCCTTTTTGGAGGTGGAGTTGAACCATGCAGTCTGCGGTGTGTGTGTGTGTGTGCGCGCGCGCGCGCGCGCGTGTGTCAGACGGAGACCAGGGGAGCAATAAAAGGCAAAGAGAGTCCGAGACAAAAAAGACACGGAGACTGAGAAGGAGGGAGGGAGGCGGGAGAGGAGCGCGCAGGGGGAGGCGCGGGAGCGGGGAGCGGGGACGGCGCGCAGCGCGAGCGGCAGGCGGGCGGGCGGCGGGCGGCTCTCGCGCTCCCGCTCCGGCTCTCACCCGCACACACCCGCGCTCACGCCGGCACACACCCGCACGGCACACGCACACGCACGCCCGCTGGCCCGGGCAGCCCCGGCGCGGGGCACGGAGGCGGGGATCCGGCGGGCGGAACGCGCCCGGCCCCGGAGCCCGCGCCCACCTCGGCGCCTTTGCGCTCCGCAGCGGCGCGCCTCGCCCCGCGGTCCCGCCAGTCCTGCCGGAAGATGGTCAACGACCGGTGGAAGACCATGGGCGGCGCTTCCCAACTTGAGGACCGGCCGCGTGACAAGCCGCAGGTACGCGCGGGCCCGGGGCGTGGGGACACGGGGCGCGAGCGGTTGGCAAGGCGGTGGCCGCTCCGGCCGCGGGGCGGGGGGCTGGAGTTTGGGGCGCACTCCCGCGAGGCTCGGGAGGCGCGGGGCAGCGTGGCGCCCTCCTCTGCTCCTCAGAGGAGGCTCGAACTTGGGGTTCGGGGTGCTGATGGGGGCGGCACCCCGGCAGGAGCCGCGCGCTCTGCTGGCCGGGGGCCCCCCTGCGCCTCCAACGGACTCCCGGTGCACGGTGTACAGACGGAGTGGGGGACCTGTAGTTCACACTGTGACCAGCCCTTTAGCTGGCTGTGTGATCTCACAAATCGCGCCTCTCGCTGAGTCTCTGTTTACTGACCTCTACAGTGGGTGCCCTGACCACTTAGCAAGTCTCCAGCCTGGGCACCGCCCTGTGCCGGGCATGGTGACCTGAGCCTCAGGAGCAGGACGCCCAACCCTGGATCCCCTCTGAATCCTCACTTTAGTCAGCCCCCCTACACCTCCCCATACAGTAGGGGAGCAGCGCCTATCTGCCTCGTGTGGGAGGGCTGAGCATCGTGCTTCTCCTGCTGTAAGATAGGAGAGCGAGGCTCAGAGAGGCTTGCTCCTGCCCGAGGCCACGCAGCTCTGCCAGGATTTGAACCCGGGCCTCTGGGCTTCAGGTCTGTTCCTTCCTTCTTCCTGCTGCCTCTTCAGGGGCAGGGGGTGGGGCAGGCTTGGAGGGTGCCCAAGGCTGCGCAGGAGGAGGGGGCGAGGGCCGAGCTCCAGGGTCGGCCGGAGAGAGGGCTGGAGACCGGAAGCTGAGTGGAGGGCAGCCCTGGGGCTGCTCCAGGCAGGGCTGCCGAGGGACCGGGGCAGGCGGGCGAGCCGAGGAGGCCGAGGAGAAGTAATGGGGCTGCCCGTTTTAAATTTCAAATTTCTCCCAGGCAGATGTCATTGGGGAAGGAACAGCTCGCCGCTGGCAGCGGCAGGAGGGGGCGGCAGGGGCGGGCCTTGGCGGCCCCTCACTCTGAGCTGCAGCCTGCTCGTTCTGTCTGGAGTGACACCGCTGTGGTGTGGGGGCCCGGCCCTCTGTAGCTCGCAAAGCTCTTTCCCAACCATCTGCACAACCTCGCTTCCCGCAGCAGCCGGGGGGCTAGGCAGGGGTGCGCGTTCCCACGTCCCCTGTGGATGGTGGCTCAGAGAGGTGAGGCGTGTGCCCAAGGCACACAGCATGTTAGCAGGAGAGCAAGGATTCGAAGCCAGGTCCGACCCCAAGCGTCTCGCAGTGCCTCCTGAGGTCACGTGTTCCTCTAAGTCAGGTCCACGGATAAAGCCGTCCCCAGATAAAAAGTCCTCTCCTGGGCCGGCCTGGTGGCTCAGGGGTTAAGTTTGCGCCCTCCGCTTTGGCGGCCTGGGGTTTGCCAGGGTTCAAGATCCCAGGCGTGGACCTATGCACTGCTTGTCAAGCCATGCTGTGGCAGGCGTCCCACATATAAAACAGAGGAAGATGGGCATGGATGTTAGCTCAGGGCCAGTCTTCCTCAAAAAAAAAAAAAAAAAGCAAACAAACCTCTCCTTCTGAGGTCTGACTTTCTCCCCCTTAGCAAGACATTCTTACCTCCTAGACTTGTCACTCAAAGCCATCCTCAGCCCGGCCCCTTCTCCCTTTCCATTAGCTCCTTACAGGTACTGACTGCTTGTCATTTTTCAACCCCCTGTCTCATACCAGGCTGCCCATTTCTGAACCTTGCTGTCTCATCTTGTTGGCTCCACCAGACTCCCCAACACACACACACACACACACACACACACACACACTCCTTCACTCAGGGAAACCCTACATATACTTCAAGACCTACTCAAATGCCACCTCCTCCAGGAAGCCTTCCCTGATGCCCAGTGGCTATGTCTCAGAGTCCTGGCAGCGTTTAGCCTGTGCTGCTCAGCTGCCTTTATCTGGCTGTCCTGTCCCAGCCCTGAGTCCCTCCTCCGTCAGGGGCTCCCTTTGGACACACATTCCTTCTGGGTCCTCACCCCAAGGTCTCCCCTGGGCCCAGGCACCTGCCTTTCCATGCTGCTCAGGTTGGGAGCTGCGGGATAGTTGCTGAACTGAGTTGCATGAAGCGGGGCCCAGAGGAGCTGTGGAGCGGAGCCAGCAAGCGCGGCTGTGTCTCAAGGGGAGGTGGCTTCGGGACCTCCTGGGCCGGGCCCAGTCTCCCTCTGCTGCTGCCCGGAGACACATATCCCAGCTGCCACCAGGCCAGAGCCCAGCTGTCTGCCCCTTGGCATCAGAGGCAGCTGAGGGCTTGTGGCCCCGGGGGCCTGGGCCAATATCACACACCCTCTCCCGTCCCCACTCCTTTGGTGACCCAGCGTGTAGACAGGCTGTCCCTTGTGCCAGCTCCAGGCTTGTCTGAAGCTTCAGATAAGAGGTGGGGCCTTTCCTGGGCCCACTGCGCCTGCCCTGGTTCCCTCCGGGCCTGTTCCCTGGGGCCTGGCCTTCTCTCTTTCCTGCTTCTAGTTTCATCTTGGCTATTGACATGCTGTGTGACTCTGGATAAGTTACTACCCCTCTCTGGGTCTGGGCTTTACCATCTGCAAAATGGGAACAGCACTCCCGGCTGCTTCTTCACTTCGCACGGGCTGTTATGAGGGTCAAGGGAAACCCTGGTATGTTTTGCAAGCTGTACAGCACTGTGCACCTGTGAGGAGGGTGGTTCTCAAAGTGGCCTGTCCCCTTTCACGGGCTGTCAGTGTCCTGATCTCCCCTCTGCCCCCCAGGGGAAGGGATCCGACCCCCAGCTCCTGCCAGGAGGGCCTGGCTGAGGGTCTTTACCAGGCGCTTCTTCTAGGGCAATAGATGGCAAGGCCACACCCCGAGCGAGACCTGCTGGGCTCCCCTCTACAGCTCTCGTTTCTTAGTCACAGCCACCCTGGGAGGTTGGTGGCAGGGACAATCAACCCATTTGACAGATGAGGAAACGGAGGCTCAGAGAGCTGGAGCCGGGAGTGAAGCGGGGTCCTGGACAGCAGATGAGCCCGGTGGGTGGATGAAGCTGGAGAGGCTGGCTGTCCTTCCTTCGTTTCGCTTGCTCGGCGCATGATGTCGCTCCCAAGACGCGGCCGAGGGGCCGAGGAGGGGCCTGCATCCGAGGGCTGCGGTGTGTGGGGACCGCCTCGGGCCGGCGCTGTCCCGGGCATGTCCGGCCGCAGCGCCTCACTTGCTGGGCGACCTTGGCCCGGTGGCCGACTTCATTAGGAGAGTCCTCTCCCCCTGCAGAACGAAGGGGCTGTCACCCCCTGGGCGGGAGACGGCGGGAGTCTTTGCTGGGAGTTGGGAGTTGCTCAGATGAAAGGATCTAGAAATAGAGCTGATTCTTCCAGTCCTCGAGTGTGGGGCTGGAAGTCACCCTGTCGCCGTCTCCTCCTGGGAGGGTTGGGGGGGCTTGCTTCTGAGCAGTCCCTGAGTCAGGCCACCCACAGGGAGATCGACCTCTGACCTCTGCCGTCTCATGGTACTTTCAAAACTTCTAAAAACATTCCAGAAAGAGAGAAAATCTCATTGGGAAGTTCTTCCTGAGGTTTGACCGAAACCTTGCTGCATTTAATTCACTCCGTGACTATTTATAGAGCCCCTGCGGCAGCGAGAAGGGACAGCCGTGAACTCAGGGCACTTAGAGTCCGGGGGACAAAGTCACAGTCGGGTTATTACAAACCGTGATGGGCGCTGTGAAGAGAAGGGCGCCTCTCTCTCGTTCCCTGGGGTGGGGGTTGAGGTCACTGTCGGGCAAGAAGGAAGGTGAAGCAAGGGAGGAGAGGCTCAGGGAGCCAGGAGCAGAGTGGGGGCCGGGAGTGCAGAGCTAAACAGCAGGGGAGGGCTTCCCGGAGGAGGTGACGTTTAAGGTGAACAGCATTTGCCGTATCTGTCCTCGAGGGAGACCAGGGTGTGCTGGGGGACATGCAGGAGCCAGCGGGCGGAGAGAACAGGGCAGGGGTGAGGGTGAGGGTGAGGGTGGGGGCCAGGAACCTGTGGGTGTCCTAGGCCGAGGGGACGAGCAGGTCGTGCTCCTGACACCTTGGTCACCCTGGAGGGGTCCTAGTCCGCTTTGCCGTCAGGAGGGGTCCTTGGCTGCTGGGTGGGGACGGGGCTGGCGGGGCTGGGGGCGGCAGGGAGGCCCCGGGAACATGGTCACCGTGATTTAGAAGCAGATGACAGAGCTTGCGCCAGGGCAGAGCTGGGGGCCTGGGGACAGAGGGGGCTGGGGGATTGGAAGAGGTGGAGTGCCCAGGGCCGGGTGGCTGGCTGGGTGGGGAGCAGGGGGCTCAGGGAGGTGCCCAGTTTTCAGGGGGCGGGTTGTGGGCTTGGTCCACCCTGCCTGGGACCTCAGGAGGCTCCGGGCTGGGTGGACAGAGCCTGGTTTGGGGCTCAGTGGGCTGGAGGCCCGGGTGGGCCGTCCGGGAAGCCAGGAGCTTTGTGTGTGTGTGGGAAGGGGGGCAAGACCCTCATAGGAAACATCTGGAGACCCTCCCTCCCTGCAAATGGCTCCAGAGCCGAGCGCCCCCTGGGAAGTGACAGAGCTCCAGGAGGGGGTGGACTCCGCAGCTCCCGGGCCCTGTCTGTTTGTCCCCTGAGACACCTTCAGCCACTCCTCCGGGGTCGTTCCCACGGCCTGAAGCTCCAGATTCCCCCCGGCAGGACAGGGGGCTCTTCCTCAGAGCTCATGGAAAAGCCTGCAGGCCCTCTTTCTGAGTCTTTGGGAACCCAGAATTTCAGGGGTCCCGAAGCAGAACAACCAGCCCCTCACCTAGGGGTCTCCGGGACCACCCCTGTGCCAGGGCCAGGGGCTCAGGGTTCAGCCCAGTCCAGGAGCCCTTTGTCTAGCGGTGGGAGCAGGTGTGGGCTCCTGGGGAGGGGTGGAGAGGCTCGCCTGGGGGCTCCCGGCTGGGGCAGGGTCTGGGCCGCCCACCCTCCCCATGATCCCATTAAGCCCACCTGTAGCTCTGTGCCTGGAAGCCCCCTGCCAGGCCCCAGGCCACACTCCACCCACCCTTAGTTTTCCCAACCCGAAGCCCTGTGATGTATTTCCATCATGATGAGCAGACATCCTGCGTTTGGCTGGGGTGCTCCTAGGAGGTGGGGCGCTGGGAGCAGCCTGCACCTGGATCTAACCTTGCCTGACCTCCCCCTGGAGGAAGACTTTCTTCTTCCTCCTTTGGTACAAGGCGAATCGTCTCAGCCCCCCAGGGAACTAACGCTGCCCAGCTCCCTTAGAAAACACGGGAGAAGAGCCAGTGTGCCTGGCAGAGCACCGTGCCCGTGAGTCCATCCTTCCTGAGCCCTCCCTTCCCCCGCCTGACCGCACGGCCGCTGCTGGAGGAGGGGGGACAGATGTCATCCCTCAGCTGAGACTCCTTTGGGGCTTCCTGCCCTCTGCCTCCCTTGGCAAGAGCCCATCTAGTCCTCCCCTCGGCCAGGGCCTCCTGGGTAGCCCCTGACCCTGGGCCACGTCCCTGCAGCTGGGAGCTCGCCCCGGGGGTCGGTTAGTGGCAGCAGTGGGCCTTGACCGCGGGGCTCCTGGCTCCTCTCCTGCCCACTGCCTGGGCCACCTTCGGTCTCCCGCTCCTGGCCCCTGGGAGGCGGGGCCCCGGGTGTGTGACCCCCGCTCGGCCACAGAAGCCCCAGCCCCGAGCGTGCTGCTCGCTTGGGCCGCTCGCGGCCAGGGCCCCCTCATTGTCTCAGCCGATTTCTTTGCGAGGCACGTAACCGCCAGCCCATAAAGGAGAGCAGCACTTCATGTTTAAGGTGATCTCCGAGGGCTCATTCTCCTCTGCTGAGTGGCCTGTTTCCTCTCCGGGCTCGGTCCCCCTGCCCTCAGGGGCCCCCCTGCAGCTTCCGCAGCCCCTCCCCTCCTGTGGCCCCCTCTGCCTTCCCTCCAGGGACAGGGGGCTTGGGGTAAAGCGGGTGCCCAAGAGGGCCAGGGTCCTGGAGACGCGGGGGACGTGACTGGCCGCTGTGGCTGGCCGCCCTGCCTGGCAGCTGGGGGACCTTAATGCTCTGCACTTGGAGGCCATCGCTCGCTCGCTTGCTGGGAGCTGCTCGGGGCAAGGTGTCTCCGGTGGGCTCCGTGGGGGGGCCTGGCAGGAACTCACTTGCTGACACAGGGCTTTGTCTCTCAAGCCCTGTCACACAGGTCACACGTCAGGTGAGGGAGGAACAGGGTGGGGTCTCCCGGCCGGCGGCCTGGGCACAGATGGCGTGAGTCCAGTGTCGCCCGGCCCTGGGCTCGAATGCTCTCGTGTGACCTGGGTCATCGTCCCTCGATGGGGGTTCAGTGGTGGGAATGGGGTGTGCTCGGGGGCGACGGTGATAATGGGGGCCTGCCTGTCTGGAAGCTTCTGAGCTGTGGGTGACTGGGGAATTGCGGTGCCTGGAGGCGGCCTTCATTCCTTGCCAGGCAGTCAGGGGGGCCCAGACTCAGAGGCGGCCCTGCCTGGGGGGCCAGGGCTCAACGAGGTGACCTGCTGCTCTGCTCTTCCTTCCACCCACCCAGCAACCAGCCGCTCTGCGCCTGGCGGTGAGCAGGTCCCTCTCCCTGGTGGGGCTCGTGGTCCAGGGCAAGTTTCCTGGACCGGGGATCCGCTGGCCCCCCAATCCCAGCTTTCATCAGATTCTCAAAAGGATCCGTGCCCCAGAAGAGGGTACGAGTCACCCTCCTGGGCACACGAGCTCCCACAGGGCAGGCTGGGATGACTGCTTCTCTCTCCTTAAGGCCTGGCCTGGAGCCTGGCTCTGGGGATACCCAGAGTGTGAGTGAGCCAATGAATGAAGTCAAAGGGGATGACTATTGCCTTGCTGAGTGTCACCATGGGGGAAGGGAGGAGGAGCCCCTCCCACACTGAGAGGAGGGCTGAGGACACAGTCCAGAAAGGCTTCCTGGAAGAGGCGGCATCTAGCTGAGCCCTGAAGGAAGAGAGCAAGTTAGGCTGGTAGAGGAGGAGCAGGGAAGCAGATGCTTCAGCCAGAGGGAGTGGCCTGGGAGCTAAGTGTTTAGGTGTGGCCTGAGCACATGTCGAGATGCGTGCAGCCAGGTGGATGTGCGCCCCGGGGCCTGGGCAGGTGCGGAGAGAGGAGGGGTGGACTCTGAGTCCTGGGGGCGTCTGTCACTGCCGGGCAGGCTCAGGAATTCTCTCCCTCCCTTCCCTGGGGGTCTGCTGTCCCCCTGCACTTCACCCCTGAGCCCATCCTCCTCTGGTGCCACGCGGGAGATTCAGGAGTTGCCTGTAGGGTTTGAACTTACGGAGGAGACGCTCTCACTCTTGCGTATCTACCCACGGTCAGACCCGCGATGTAAGAGGCATCGCTACTTTATTATCGCTAAGAAAGCAGGCAAGGGGCTGGCCCGGTTAGGTTACTTAAGTTCCTCTTCGGCGGCCTGGGGTTCGCTGGTTCAGATCCCGGGTGCGGACATGGCACCGCTTGGCATGCCATGCTGTGGTAGGTGTCCCACATATAAAGTAGAGGAAGGTGGGCATGGATGTTAGCTCAGGGCCAGTCTTCCTCAGCAAAAAGAGGAGGATTGGCAGCAGATGTTAGCTCAGGGCTAATCTTCCTCAAAAAAAAAAAAAAAAGCAGGCAAGTTGTCAGTCACAACTGTGGGATGCCCCCTACCTCGGAGACGTTAAACTGAGAAGAGAAAGTGCATCTCAACATCGACGACACGCAGAAATAACACTTTGGGTGGACAATAAAAAACCAAACACCTCCAGATGCTCTGTGCACATCGATCATAAGATAATAAAAGCCGCTAATATTTATTGCACAAGCACAATGCCGCAGGCGCGGCTGCAAGAGCTTTACTATACCGGCTCATTTAAAGACGCGTCTCGAGTTCAGAAAGTCGGAAATGTGGGGGAATTCAGTCGGAGAAGGTGCCTGGCTCTGGGAGGAGGCAGCAGGCTGGAGATCTAGTCAGCTCTGCTTCGAATCTGCTGTGTGGCTGTGGGCAAGCTCCTCACCCTCTCTGGGCTTCAGTCTCCCCATGTGTCCAGTGCTCCGTGGCCGCTCACTGAGCTCCTTTGGGCTGTGACTGGGTGCTGGCACTGTTACAGCTCCGTCTTCCTGAGTCTGCACGCAGGCACCTGCATGCAGGCGGTGGGCATCGTTCTCGCCCCCATTTTGCAGGTGAGGGCATGGCGGCTCAGAGAGGTGAGGTCCTCACCCAAGGTCCCCCTGCGGGAAGTGGCAGCGTGGGGGCCTGAGCCCGGCCTGTCTGGCTGCAGAGGGCGAGACTTCACCTCCAGCCCTTACCAGACCCTGGAGGGCTCCTTGTGGGGAGAGGTGGCCGCCCCGTGCAGGCCACATGGGGCAGGGCAGGGCCAGCGAGGGGAAAGGGCCTCTCTCTCCATCGGTCTCCCCGTCTCTCTGCCTCAGTTTCTCTTCTCATCCCCTCCATCTCTGTCTCCCTGCCCCTCTCATTCTCTCCATCTTCCTGTATCTTCGTGTGTCTCTGGGACTCTGGCTCTCATCTCCGTCTGCCTGTGTGACTCCTTCCCCTGTCCCCAAGAAGATGGCCCCCTCTGAGCCTTGTCCAGGCCTCACGTGGGCCAGAGGCGCCGCCCGGGGCTGCCTGGGTCCTCCTCGCGGGCAGGGCTGGAGGCCCAGCTCTGCCCCTGATGCCGCCCCTTCTCTCTCTTGTGCATCTGTCTGTCCGTCTCTGTCCGTGTGCCCGGGGCCGGCTGGCAGCGGCTGAGCTGCGGCTACGTGCTGTGCACGGTGCTGCTGTCCCTGGCGGTGCTGCTGGCCGTGGCTGTCACCGGCGCCTTGCTCTTCCTGAACCATGCCCGCACGCCCGGTACGGCGCCCCCGCCCGTCGTCAGCACCGGGCCGGCCGGCGCCAACAGCGCCCTGGTCACTGTGGAGAGGGCCGACAGCTCGCGCCTCAGCATCCTCATCGACCCGCGCTGCCCCGACCTCGCCGACGGCTTCTCCCGCCTGGAGGGCGCGCAGGCCTCGGTGCTGCGGGCACTGAGCGAGCAGCAGGCCAGGCCGCGGCTGGCGGGCGAGCAGGAGCAGGAGCTGCTGGACACCCTGGCTGCACAGCTGCCCCAGCTGCTGGCCCGCGCCGCGGAGCTGCAGGCCGAGTGCGCCGGGCTGCGGAGGGGCCACGGCGCTCTGGGCCAGGGGCTCAGCGCCCTGCAGAGCGAGCAGGGCCGCCTCGTCCAGGTAAGGACAGCGTCTCTGGCAGGGTTGGGGGTGGCGGGGTTGTTGCCACCACAGCCTGCCACGTGCTGGGCGCCTGATGTCCACAGCCTCACTTAATCCCCAAGTGCCCGGGGACCAGAGGCTGTTGCCATTCCCATCCACAGATGAGCAACTGAGGCTCAGAGAGGTGAGTCTATCATCCAAGGCCACACAGCTCGTGGCGCCAGGATTCAAACCGTTTCCTACTCTCTGTCCTGGTGACCCTGCGTATTTGCATAGCACCCCGTGTCATCCAACAGTCAGGTCAGACCCAGGGCTCGAGGGGCTTCCCAGGTGCTCCGGAGGAGGTGGGATGCAGGTAAGGCTGGTCGTGGCCTCCATCAGTAGGGAATCGAGGTTCAAGGTCACGTGGCTGGTCGGTGCCACATGGCCAGAGAGAGCCGCGCACCCTCTCGACCCCCTGCCCCACTCCCTGCTCACAGCTTTCCAGGGAAGAAGGGACAGTGGAGGGAGCCCAGCCAGACCCTTAGCCATCCCCACCAGCCCCGCCCCATCCCCGAGCCAAGCCAGGTCCCAGCAAGCGCCAGGTAGACCTGAGGGAGGCGTTTCCAGCGCTGACCACGCCTGGAGCATCAGCCAGAACGTCCCCCCAGAGGAGCAGGGACTTCGGGTCATCTCATCTGCCTTCTGCCATTTTCCAGGAGAGAAAACTCAGGCCCAGAAGGGGTGGTGATTGGTCCAGGGTGTGGCCAGGTCAGCCCTGGCATCTGGCCTCCGGGTGCTCTGCCCAGCCTCCAGCCCTGTATCCCGTCACCCGGTGACTCAGGTCCTCAGGGACCAGGGGGTGAGCCCCACCCCCACCATCCGTCCCAGCCTGTTCTGGACACCTGGATGACCAGGCATTCGGTCACCTCGCCGCTCATGAGCCATGGGCCTTTTCCCGCCCTCTGAAGGCTGCAGCTGGAGGGAGTACATTGCTCATCGTGCTGTCTGGGTGACCGAGGGGAAGGCGGCGCTCCCCTCCCGCGCGGGGTGGAGGTGGGGCGTTCAGCTGCCTTCCTGCTGCCCCTCATCGCAGGGCTCGAGGAGCCCCCCCCAGGCTTTCTGGGTGATCTGGGCCCCCACCTCGCTCTCCACATGGCTCAGCCCCTGGTCAGCCAGGCCAGGCCAGGCCAACAAATGCTCACCCTTAGGGCAGGTGGAGGATGGGGGTGGGGCCTCGGGGTCTCCCGCCCGCCCACCTTCGCAGAGGCCTCGAGCTGTTCCCTCAGACTCACAGCTTTCCTGGGGCCCAGTAGTGCCCCGGCTCGCCTGGCAGATGACTTCTCCAGAGGATGTTTAATTTCCCGCAGACTCCGGGTGACTTCGGAGACGATGAGTCTTGCAGAGCATGTCGAGGTGGCTCCCTGCTCCTCCTCTCCAAGCTTCCCAGACCCTCAGCTGATCAGCCCAGACCTGGGCTTCTCAAAGCAATGCCCGTGGGCACCCCCGTCAGAACTGCCAGCGTGCCTGTTAAAAGGCACATCCTGGACCTTATCCCAACCCACGCTCCCCCGGGTGTCGACAGTTCAGCAAGTACCAAGGGGACTTGTGTACACAAATGCCTGAGCCCACTGGCCTGGGAGTGGCAGAGCCGAGCAGTTCTGCCCTCAGGGTTCGAGTTGGCAGAGGCAGGATCCAGTCCAGGCTCCAGCAAGTACCAGGTGTAGGACCTTGGGCATGTCAGGTGCCCCCCGGGGTGTGTCCCCTCAATTCTAAAATGGGGACAACACAGTCCGTACCCAGGAGGATGCTGGAGCTCCTGACTGTACCGGGCTCGGCCGCATCTGACACTGGAGAGATGCCACATCAGCGTCTCTGTGATCATTATGCTGGAAATTGTTGGTAAAGTGACGCTCCAGCCCATGGGGAGCCACCACTGAAAACCCCGTTCACAGTACTAACGATGGGGACCGCCTGTGCGGGGCCCACGCCGGGCGGTAACAAGCCCTTTGCAGCACAGTCGCCCCAGGAGGTGGGAGTCATCACCCCATTCTGTGGAGGGGCAGACGGAGGCTCAGGGTGGCAGAGCACCTTGTCTCAGCTCGGTCATGCGACTATGAAGAGCTGGAAGCGGCAACTCTGATGTCACCGCCTCTAAAAGCTGCCAGCTCCTCTTGAATGGATCTGCACAGCACAGCGAGCAGGGACTGACTCTCCCCATTAATTCGGGGCATGTTTATACATACATTTTCAACTTTAATCATTTGCTGGTTTAAACGGAGGTCTTCCCTGCCCGTTAGGGAGAGCGGGCCGTGCCCGATGCCTGAGTTTTTCAAGTGTGTCGGCTTCGTCACAGAAGGATGGACAATCCCCTGGAGACTTAACCAATGAGTCTGATGACTTGGCCGCCAACACCCTGCAGGGTGGCCCCCGCCCTCTGCCCCCCGGGGTGCTGCCTGCATCCCTCTGGAGGACTCCCCCGACAGGGCCTGCCCACAGGACACTGCAGTGAAGCCCAGGGAGAAACGGGCGGCTTTGCCCACATGCCCCCGCCCGTCTGGGCGCCCCGCTCCCCGGGCCGCAGCCTCACTGAATCACCTGCTCAGCAGAGGAGAAAGTGACAAGGAAACGAAGAGCTTTGCAGGGCTCCTGCTTCCGGCCGAGCCGAGAATCATATTTTGTAAACTGCCAGCACTGTATATTTCTATTTTCCTCCCTCCAACGAGCTATTATCTGGCAGATGACAGGTTCGGTGTGTAAAGACCCAGCAGGCCCCATGCTGGCTGGCTGGCTGGCTCAGTCTGCCCAGGACCCTGCCTCCCCTCCTCGTGGTCCTGCAGCCTCCTGGAGCCCGGGGTGGGGAGGTGATAGATCCCAGACCCCTCAGGCAGCAGGCACAGCTGAGAGGTCCCAGGGAACAGCCGTGCACTTGCTGAGCTGCAAACCTCCGGACCGTGATCGTGGGGAGGGCGGCCGCCAGCTCAGCCGTGGGAATGAGTCAAACAGAGGACACCCACTGGGTGCTCAGGCCCGGCCCACAGGCCGTCATGAGTCTCCCACCACCCGCCCCCGGAAGAACAGCTCCCGTTCCGGCTCCTGGAGGAGGAAGCTGAGGCGGGGAGAGGTACAGGGACTCCTCCAGGGTCCCTCGGAGCAGAGGAGGGGGCTGAGTCAAAACCCAGAATCGACGCCAGAGCCTGGGTCTGAACCACTGTCGCTGTTCCGCCCCCTTCCTGTGCTCCTGATGCAGCCCCGGGCTCCTTTCCTACCAGTCAGCCCTGGGGAAGTGGCCTGAGAACATTCTCCATCAGGGACCTCTCCTTCTGGGCCTCAGTTTCTCCATTTGTAACGGGAGGTGACAACTCAAGTCCCCACTCCTGGCAATGCTGTGGGGTGAGGTGAGGCGGTGGACATCAGAGAGCTGTGGAAAATCAAAGCAGCCTTTGCATGGAGCCGGGTGGGGTGGGTGGAGTACCCCAGGGTCCCCCTCTGTCACGTGCAGTCCCCTGCCTGAGGGTGCTTTGTAACCTGGAAGGTGCCGTCCGGATTTGCATAACGGGGTGGGCCGAGTACGACCACCCCGTGTGGGCCCCATACTGTGCTAGGTGCTTCCCTTGCGTTGTCACCAGTCCCCATAGCAGTGGGGCCGGAGAGGCCATGTTAGCCCCGTTTCAGGGCAGGTTAAGTCCCTCCCCTGCAGGCCTCTGACTGGGAAATGGGGGAGCTGGTTTGCACCCAGCGTTGCCTAACGCCAGGCGCTGCCTCCCCGTGCACAGCACGTGCCTCTGACAGGCGCCTCCCCTGTGAAGGGGCAGGAACGGGTGAAGGACAGGGCGGGGCAGCAGGGCACAGGTGTCTGCGGGAGCCACTCTGCTCCCTCGCCCCTCACCCCGTCCTCTGAGATCTCTGACTCAGATGGCCTTGGGTCTGGGCCAGAGAAGGGCAGGGGCCACCGTTGTGCCGGGAGCCCACCTCCAACTGGGGGACGTCAGTGCTGGTAGCCGCCAGAGCCCCTGCCCCCTGCGCTCACTCCTGTACTCCACAGCTTCTCTCCGAGAGCCAAGGCCACATGGCTCACCTGGTGAACTCCGTCAGCGACGTCCTGGACGCCCTGCAGAGGGACCGGGGGCTGGGCCGGCCCCGTGTCAAGGCTGATCTTCAGAGGGCGCCTGCCAGGGGATCGCGGCCCCGGGGCTGCGCCAATGGTGAGTGGGGTGGGGGGCTGCCATCCTTGGGTGCCCCGGAGAGCAGGGAAGGCTGGACGGAGGGCGCCCCACAACGAGATGCCCGGGCCCAACCTCAGTTTCACGGTGGCCCATGCCTTGTGCCCCAGCGTCCCCGCCCCCCCAGCCCTGATAAGGACCCTGCTGCCGTTTGCCAAGGACCTCCTGCGGCCAGGCAGCGCTGAGCGCCCTATCTGCCCCTTTTCCTGGCCCACAAGATGGGTTCATTGTACCCATTTTCCAGATGAGGAAAGCGAGGCTCAGAGAGGGTGCTCGCTCACCCAGGGAGTGGCAGAGCCAAGGTCTGACCCCAAGGCCGGTGCTCTGGAGCCCACGTGGCATTACCGGCTGGACAGACAAGTCAGAGAGACCCAGGCACAGAGGTGGGCGGTCAGGCCCGGCCTCCCTGACGGCATTCCCTATCTCAGGCTCTCGGCCACGCGACTGTCTGGACGTCCTCTTGAGCGGCCAGCAGGAGGATGGCATTTACTCCATCTTCCCCACACACGACCCGGCCGGCTTCCAGGTCTACTGCGACATGCACACGGGCGGGGGCGGCTGGACGGTGAGTCTCCGGCTGCGCGCTGGCACGGCCAGGCCCGGGTGACCCAGGAGGCTGTGCCCGTGAACCGGGGTGCTGAGCGGCCTCACGCAGCCTTCCACCCTGGGCCCGGCCCTGCCTGGTGCCCTGCGGCCCCCACAAACCTGCCCATAATCTCACCGAAGAACCACACACCCACAGAAACCTGCACGGGGCAGCTGGAGGTCGTGAGTGGACCCTGGGGGGCCCTCAGGGGCAGATCTTAAGCCCCGTTGCCTGTCTGTGGGGCCACCTGCTGCTCCCTGAGCCCCGAGCCCTCCCTGAGCAGTGGTTCCTGGGGGCGTGGGCACGGCGGGGTTGGGTCCTGAGATGCAACACAGCACCAGGTGCCTGGTGCAAGCGTGAGATGAAGGGCGGATGCGGGCGGCTGCTGGCTTCGAGTTATCATAGACGGTGCGCACTCGGGAGATGGCAGGGCCCCCCCCTCCAGGAGCAGAGCCCCCGGGGCATCCTGGGAGGAGCTGTTGTGATCGCCTGTGGCTCCTGCCTGGGTGGGAGGTGAGAGCAATGAAAGGTTCAAACTGCCGATGGAAGGCAGGGGTGGGACAGCCGCAGGTGGCTTTGAAACCTCCCTGGAGGTGGGAGGAGGGGTGGAGTGGTGGGCAGGGCCCCGGCTGGGAGACCCCAGGGGGTGTCCCGACCTGCCAGCTGGGAAGCCCCTTCTGGAGCAGGTGGGCACACTTGTCTCCCATGGTCTCTGTTCCGCCGACTCGCCTCTGCCCTTGATGGGGAACGGAATGCATGGGCCTGGCTGCATCCTAATAACGCTTTCCCTGTGGACGCTGAAATCGGGATTTCATGAAATCCTCGTGTATTCTTCTTCAAATGGTATTCAAATAATATTTAAACGTATTCTTTTTTTGATTTTTTTTTTTAACCATTTAAAAATGTCCCAATCATTCTTGGTTCATGTGCCGGCTAAAAACAGGCAGCGGGAGGGGCTGTCCTGGGGCCGTGGGCCGCTGGAGCCTGGGTGGCTGAGGGTGGGAAGGGAGCTTGCTCCTCCTCCCCCTCCAAATCAGTGGACTTGCGGCATCTCCTGGGGCTCAGCCTTGGGTGTGGGCTTCAGCGGGGCGCCACTGGCCATTAGGTGACTTGGTGCAAATTTAAAAAGTGCATGTCCTGACCTTTGGGGACATGGCTTGGCAAAGAGAACACATGTTCTTGCCCCCTTGGCCAGGTGCCCTTGAGCAGTGAAGAACCTACACCACTGTCCCTGGGCGTCTGTGTGCCACCCTGAAAGCTGCTTAGCCTCCCTAGTTGGCTGTGGCTGGGATGCCCAGTGACAATGGAAAGCAGGACCCTAAAACTGACTCTTCAAGGAGTCTCGGCTTCACATTTAATTTCAAATGGGCAATTTTGAGCACCTGCTGTGTACTGGGTACTGGGGATGTGCGAGACGGGGAAGCCCCGGTCCCAGTCCTCCCAGGGAGCTCAGAGTCTGCTGGGGTGTGGGGTGGCAGAAGTCACTGCGAGCAGAGGTGGGGAGGCTCCGCACACGCTTCCTGGAGAAGGGGGCATTTCTGATGAGCCTTCAAGGATGGGATCTGAGTGAGCAGGGAGGAGAAGGTGTTCTGGGAAGAGGGAGCAACTCGACAAGGGTCTGGGAATCAGGAAGCACGCAGCATGTTCTGGGAACAGAGTCAGCTGGGGCGGGTGGCGCGTGAAGAGGTGAGGCGAGTGTTGTCAGTATCCTAGGCTGCAGGGTGTGGGGCAGGCACTGGGGAGCTATTGAGGGTACTGGAGAGAGGAAAGATGAGATAAAAACTGTGCTTCAGGAAGCCTAACCTGACTGTGCGTGTTCTTGGGAAGAACAGGGAGGGGAGGGAGGAGGCAGTCCCCTCACTCGGCGGACAGGCCCGTCACTGAGCCCTTGTGCCGGGGGCGGAGAGCATGGCCTACACTCTTGGGCTCTGACATCCACAGACAGACCGGGGCGTGGCTCTGGGTCCTGCTGTGTGACCTTGGGCAAGTTACTTAAGTTCTCTGAGCCTCAGTTTCCTCAGCTGTGAAATGAGAACACCCACCTACCTCACTTAGAGGTCTTAACCGCGGGCAACAGAAAGTAGCTGATTTAAGCAGAAAAGGAACGTACTAGAGGGAGGCTGGGAGGCCCGGAAACCAGCTCAGGGCCACACAGCCAGGAACACAGCCCTCCAGACCCGGCCAGGGGTTGCCTGGTGAGAAGCCCACTGCCCAGGGCTGCTGCTCCTGAGCGCTGGACACAGCCACACTGGGCACGGCACCCCCGCCGAGCTCCCACTGTGCCTCCGAGCGAGAGTCCGTCTGGCCCGGCTTCTTTGCCTCCCCAGCTGCTGTCAGCGTCAGGGGTGTTCCTGACTGGGGGCTTGGGTCACCTGCCTACAGCCCTCCCCACAAGGGGACGAAGCAGCCAGAGTCTTCAGCCACTGCAGTGGCCATGATCCCTGCCTCCCACCAACCTCAGAAGACGGGGAGGGACGGCCAGCGAGACACACGTCCACTGTGGTGTGTGGCTTCGCGGGCTTACCAGGCTGCCACCGCCAGGTGCTCACGGAGCATTGTGCCCAGGTCTGGCCGCTGTCCCATAGCTACTTATGACAAGGAGCTGCGCCCTGCGCAAGGCACTGGCAACCCACCAGTGGCCAAGATGTGTGTCCCCACCCCCGCCGGGCTCCCCACCAAGAGGGCATCCACGGTGGTCCAGGGAACGGTGTGGGGACCTGGAGCAGGGGCGTGTGCTCAGCGGTTTCCCGCGGTGCCCACAGAGGCAGGCGGAGTGCCTCCTTTCTCACCACGGAGCGTGGTGGTGACTATTTTGGGCGCAGTGATGTCCAGGCAGAGGGGAGAGAGAAGCTCCTAGAGGGGAAGGCAGCCCGGGTCAGTTTTGAAAGGGGTCAGCCGTTCCGAGCAGGGGTGAGACAGGGAGGGGCGAGTGAGGCGGGCGGGCGGGCCAGGGGCCAAGACGGGCGTGGTTTGGAGGGCAGTGCTGGCCGAGAACAGCCGAGAATCCCCCCGAGACCCAGAGACAGACAGACGGCTGAGCCCCTCCCCCAGCTCCGGAGGAGGGCCGTTAAACAGACTGCATCTGCGTCTAAAAGCTCTTTCGTTTTCCTAACTCACAACATCTGAGTTATGGCATTTGCCTCTGGGAACCCCTCGGCCGGCAAAACAGCGCCAGAGCCCAGAAATCAGAGTTAAGGGTTAGGACAGGCTTAATGAAAGACCGAGACGCCGGCCCGGGCTGTGCCTCTCCACTCCGGTGGACTTGAAGCCAGTCTCCGGGGGGAGTCAATCAGGATCTGGGCCGGGAGGCAGGTGATTCCTAGGCGAGGGCTGGGGGGCGATCGGAGGCGAGTGGGTGAGGACTGCCGGCCTCCTGGCCCTCCCGCTCGGACTCCTGGATCCGGGGGCCCTGGAAGAAAGGCCGTTCTCGGCCAAGAAGTGCTTGCGTGGCCAATAAGTGTTAATATCCATTTAGGCTTCCGTCAAAAGCAATCTCTTCCCAGCTACCTCTGGGCATCTGTCAGGATCGCCTCCCTGCCACATGGAATCTTTCGGAAACTCAATTGTTGTTTGGGGGAGCTGGCCGCTGCCTCTCTGGACCCCAATACCATCCATCCTCATTAGGCTCCCTGTCCAAACTGCCGGGCCTGGAGTGCTGGCACCGGATGGCCCTCCCTGCTGGACAGGGCGCCTGGGGCAGGACACACCAACCAGAGCCTGCCTCCCGCAGACACTGGCCCAGGCGAGGATGGCGCTCGGCAGCCCTGCCCGCCTGGGGGACGCTTTACAGTTTATAGAACCACTGCGCTCGCCAGCACTGCAGTGACGCCCCTCCAGGTTACACGGCAGCCTCAGAGAGAGCAAGAGATTTGTCCAAGGCCGCCCTGCAAATGAGCAGCCCGCCTGGGGCAGCACCCAGGCCTCCTGCAGCCTCACGCACGTCTGTGGAACTGACTGTCACACGGTGGCACTCATTTATGCATGAGTGCCAGCCATGGGCCAGAGGATTTGGCAGCAACCTCCCGGCCTGGTGGGGAGCTGGACAAGTCGGCTGACTTGTGCGAGGGCTGCCGGCGGAGGCCATCGGGGAGCCCAGATGACAGCCCCACCCCACTAACCCAGCCGGGGGCGGCCAAGAGAGGTCCAAGTGCTGGGAGATGGAGCGGAGTGAGGCAGGGAACAGAGTTCCAGGTGCGGGAACAGACGTGCAAGGTCCACAGGGAGATGGCAGGGCTTGTCCTGGAGCCACGGTGGCTCAGTTCTGCTGGCACACGGAGCTCGAGGGGCAGGGTCGAGGTGGTGGAGGCAGCAGGGCTGGGCCGTGTGAGGTGCTGCAGGTGCATTAGGAGCTGGGCTTTCTCCCGAGGGCAGAGTGGGCTCCCGCCGCCCCGGGATCCCCCAGGGAGGGAGTGACCCAGGCTGTGGGGCCAGGGGACTCGGGGGCTGTGGGGGAGCCACTCAGGGAGTGTGAACTCCATGGGTCCTGAATCCTTGCTGCAGAGTCGGTGCTGCCATGTGGGAATGAGGCCACGCGTGGCTCCTTGGGGTGGGGAGGCTGCAGGGGCCGATGGACACACGCCTCCAGGTGGCCTTTCAGCTTGTGTGGCCACTGGTGCCAGCTGAGCTCAAGCCTCCTCTCCATGATGAGCAAAGGCCACAGGGGCCCAGGCCACGCAGGGTCACACCAATTGTTTAAGGCCACCCCTGAACCTGACACGCACACCCCCTCCCAGAAAAGGAGGGGCGAAGGGCAGGGAGGAAGGGCCACTCCTGCTGACCTGTGACCCTGGGCAAGGGGTCTTCCTCGCTGGCCCAGCGTGGTCGCCGTGTCCTTTGGGAGGCCTCCCTGACCAGCAGGTCACCCCCATGCTCCTTCTTTGCACCCGTCACAGGTGCGGCTAGGTGATCACCGGTCCAGGTGTTGCCGTCTGTGTCCCAGCCAGGCGAGCCCCACGGGGCAGCGACTGGTCATCTCGTGG